AGATGTGATTGTGGAGACATTTAAGCCTTCAGAACAAAAAAAGGCTGTTACGGGGATCTTTCTACCATTGGCAGAAAACTGGTTTTGTACACACAAATGCATACTGGTTCTCTTGCATTATATGTTAACATCATTAAGTAAACCTAGTCATGGAAATCCATAATTCTCCTATTAATAAAGTCATATGAAACTAAATCTTGTAATGTAGTACATATTCCACAATAAACAAATTGGCACTCATAATGCATATGCATCGTAAGCAATCCTGTGATAAAGCAAATAGATTTGCCTTGGCTCTACCACAAAATTAATCAATAATAATATCTGAGCTAATGAAACAGTCACTTGTGAAAATCAGTGTTTCCCATCAGCTTTTATAAAACATGATTAATTTCTATGCATTAAACTGTATTACTGAGAAGGGAAATCATTAAGCATCTTTCAGTTACCCCTTGTTGATAGTAATAAAAAAAGAGTTGTTGTCTCTGAAGCTGCTCCACTCCATGGAATTTTTTAAAATCCAATTACTTGGATGGGGGAGGAATATTCAAATCACTTATAAACCTTTGCATATTACTGCTATTCTTCTCACAGGCACCAGGGAGCCTTTATAACCGGCAGAAATCAAGTCTTTGCTGAAAAGTAGTTATGCACAATTTCAAATACTTTGCATGATGGGAGGCAAAATTCATGGGCATTCTGTTTTAAATTCATTGCAGTTGACACAAATGATCTCCTGGTAAAGGAAAAGGGTAAGATTGCTAGTCTAGCACTGTCAAGCCCACAGAGGAAGGACCCAGCAAGCAGTGCTGCATGGTTAGCTCAAAATCATGAAAAAAGAGTTCGAGGAATTTGGAAACAAAATTTTGGCTCTGTGACTTCTCTTTTCTAACCTGAAAAGGGCAGGAGCATGGAAAGCAGAGCGGGGGAAGTGTGTCCGCCTAAAGAGTTAATGAAGAATAAAGGGAAGTCAGAAAGACACGTGGATTTGAAATCATTTTCCCTCTGAAACCTAAACATAACCTGTATATGCTGAGCCTGAGCTGAAGAGACAATGAATTAGTCATTGCAACTGCAATTGCCAAAGAAAATCTGCCAAATGTTGGATAAGAAAATCTGTTTCTTTTTTGTTTCTAAAATCTGGCTCCCAATAAAATCCTTCCTTCAAGGCACAGTAGATGATTCAGCAAGGCTCTGGAGAGTGGCTGAAGGGTTGTGATGTTCTGCCACAGACTCAGTACTCAGAATGGCTAGAGGCTGGCCCAGGATTGAGCCAAGAGGTAGCTAGGCAGGTAAAGATGACTCAAAGAGATGCGTAAAGCAATGTCATTCCACTTGAGACATGACGATCCACAACACTTCACGCTCTAAGCTATTTTGCAGCAAAGATATTTCAAGATCCTAACAGTGATTGCTATACAATTCTAGCCCCAATTTAGGAAAACAAAGCCAGAGAGGTTAAAAGCATTTGTCAAGAAAGTGTTCCCAGTGGTAGAACAGGAAAAGACATCACAGTCCACATCTTCATCTTGCTGAGGTCCATGAGTTTTGCTGCTATCTTCACCAGACTCATGCTTTCACAAGAAACTATTCCCATTTTCACACTTTTTCTCACTTACTTGTGTCTTTCATCTTAAAAGTTACAAAACAAACGGCAAAACCTAACCCTCATCTCTGAAAATTAATTTATGAAATGGAAGTGTGACTATCACTAATCTCAAGTGTCCTAGAAGTTTGTTTAAAGCCAAAAGATAGTAGGAAGATTGTATTTCACTATTAACATCGAGACACTTAGAATGCATTTGGAACTTGTAGAGGAAATCAACGTTTTACCAGTTGAGAAGGCAAGTCGGGCATTCCTCACCAGAACAAACATACATGGACACAGATGAAAGATCTCAATGAGTAATCCCTGGTCCAGAGACAATCTGATTTCTAAGGTACAGCTTGCTTTTCTTATTTGGGCCCCTCCTGTCTATTTATTCTCAGGTAGAAGAAAGTGGTTAGCAGGTATTTAGCTCCTTCTTTGGTCCCAGGCTTAAATTACCAGGAAAAGGCAATGTAGCTTTTCTCATTTTCCTTATTGAAACTAATGAAACAAAAAATCATCTCTTAATAAGGCAATTAATATTTAGATCCATCTCCTTTGAATTAAATTGATATCACATAAACTAACCTAATTAATGCCCGAGTAGGTCAAAGAATGATCCAGAATTATTTTTTTTATTTCACATTATTTAAAAAAGTAGATGTAACTATACTCTTGCCTCCTGATGGCAAGAGTAAAAACTGAAAAAATATAATTTTTGCCTGTAAAAGGGCATTTGTTCAAATGAAGCAAAAAAACTCCACTGCTTTTATCTATTTCTATAGAACAGAAGGTTGTTTAAAACAAACTGGATGTAATACTGTCAGGAGGGAATGTGTCACCCTTTGGAAAACAAAACATGAAGTGCATGGAGATCATTATTACAGCTAGTCTGTTTTTATAGGACAGTTCTCTGTATTGCAGAGATTTCTCTGCAGGGATGGCTTCTGAACTTTTCAGTGCTGGCAGGTGCACAGTTTTCTCTTTCTATTAAAATATCCAGAAATTTGTGAATCCTGTCCAATACTCAGAGGGCACCATTTCCAAAGCCCCTGAACATCTGTTCCAGTGCAAAATTCACACATTTGCAGTCAAACTTTCCTCCCCATTGACTATACTCTCTTTGTCTTCCAATTCAACAGCTTCAGTAACAGATTTTATACAAGCCTTACTTTGTTGGGGAATGTGGAGTTGTAATCAAATGAATTTTGCTGTTATAACACCAGTTATAACTCCAGTTATAACTCAGTTTGATATAACTATGAATTTTTTCTCATGCCATACGCTGACAGCTAAAGCTGCATTATCACTGTTAGCATAGAAATAGCAATGCAAAAGGTATCACAGAACAGCAATCAACCCAAACACTGCAGATAGAGACCGAGCGACACTCAAGGAAAGCCATCTTATACATGTTTGTCAAACAGGTGCCAAATTCTTTACTTATGTAAATAAACTGATAAAAGTTTACAATCTAGCTCTCACTGAAGCTTCATGTCCAAATACTCAATACTCAGGTCCAAACATGTAGGCTCTAGACCTCTCTGAGGAAAGCTCACAGCAGTGTAGCTGTGGCAATCTCAGTGGTTCACAGTGAAGCTAATTCTAGTCTGTACTTTACTTCAGTAGAATTATCATGCCAGCGGAGGTGCTTATTTCCCAGTACTTGAGATAGAAGCAGACCAGCAGCTGTGCAGAATTCAATGGCTAGTACTCCTATGAGTAAGTACTATGCTCTGCAAAATGAAGTCCTTGGATATTTTGTCCTTCTGACCTCTGCTCATGGAGTGACAAGCCAGCAAGTGGAGCCTCAATCACTCCATGATTCCTTTCCATTTACCTCATCAATAAGCCCCTTAAGTCATGTGCCATCTCTCTTCTTTATACTGAACACTGAGGAGAATGAAGCTCCATGAGCTTAAAATAAACCTTTTCCTTCAAATACTCTCACCAGGGTCAAAGGTAGCTGTGGATCTAGGGGAGAAGGCTTGGAATGACAGCTCTTCGTATTACCCATCTAACTTTCTGTTCTGCTGAAGGTCAAGTTTTTTTTGCACTGTATGACTCACAGGATCTAAATACGAAAATATGATAATATTGTTTGCAGGTATGCAATAGTAATTCTCTTTCTTGCCAGACTGTGCTGTGCATATTTAATTATATTCAAGCAAAGATTCTGGTTTAAAAAAATATTGCAAGCCATTCTCTCCCCTTATGTGGATCTATAGAACTGAGGCCAAAATAATGATGAAAGTATTGTACAGTGATTAATATAATATAATGTTTGAGACTATGATTGGCCTCCAGTGTATCACAATTCTCTTCTGACTTTTAAAGACCACAGTCTTAGTTTTATTTTATTCTTGATGGCTTCTTATTTAAACAATCTGTAAGACACAGTTTATTGTCTTGAAGACAATAGATTTTGCTCTACCAGATATTATTATTCCGTAAGTATAATATACACAGTTAGAAGTAACAAAGCAGAATTACCAAACTCAATTTTATAGTGGTAATCATCATACCATTTCAAAGCAATAAATATCTAGGGAAGATCTTGGACCAGCTGCTGGTGATACTTACCAGAAAGATCACTTAATAAGAACAGCAGTACAGAACAACAACACCATTGCCAAAGGTGGCACATGGCAAGCAAAGTTAATTCCTTCTCTAGAATAAGCTGGTGTTTTGCCACCATATTTGCTTCAAGTCACCGGAAGTATTGTACTTGAAAATTCTAGCCTGCTATTTATTATTAGAAAAAAAACCAAAACACTCCCGCTCCCAGGCTCTCAGTTTGAAATCTAATATAATAAAATACAATTGTGTAGGTATCTGAATAATATACTTTTAAGTATAGGCATACACATACATACATACATATAAATACTTCCAGCTTGTTCTGAAGCATCTGCATGTTTGTTTTAGGCAATGGGACTGACAGATTGATGTACAAATGTGTCTGCACTTGTTAGAAGAATATACACTACTCCAATACTACTCAGTCACCAGTAAGGAAATCCTCACATAAGAAGGAAAATAATTACCCTCCATTATTTATCAAATATCTGCTATAGGCTTATAATTAAAATATTTCCCCCTTTCCAAATTAAGACTATACTAGGAAGAAGGGTCAATAAGATAATTTAATTTGCTTTATTATATTTCCAAAATATTATATAAATTTATTTCATGAGAGATACTTCCACACTTAGCATTATCACACTTTTTTCCAGATATCAAAATGGTTGTTATCATCTTAACACTTTGCTGAAAATTTATAAATCAATTCTTTCTACATTTTTTACTTATATGGGAATTTTCACCATTAAAATTTGCTGTGAACTTTTGTGCAAGGCTTTTAATATTAGTCTCCATTTTTGAAAGTCAAGAACATATTGAAAATACCTACCTGGAATCGATAAAAGGTGCCATCATCCTTCAGTGTTAGAACATGGTCTGAGATTGGAAAGAAATAGCCATGTGCTGCCATCAATGTTCCTAAATGTAGGGCTTCCACTGTTTGAAATAAAAAAGAAAGATAAACTTAAAAAGTGAAATAACTTCTTTTCAGCAGCTTAGTTTTGTTGTTCAGATTCATCTGATCTGCAGATAACCACTTGCTCTCAGTCAAAGTCTTGCCATCATGAAAGACCTGTCTTTTTCTATGTACTATAATGACACAACCAAAAAACCCCCTGTACTTTCCTTCACAAATAGCTTTAAATGTCCCATTTGTAGCTGCAGCTCCACTACTTATATTGGCATTAGCAGATAGCTACCTCAATGCTCACTCACTTGTTCTGAAGCTAAAAACAGCTCTCAGTTTTACTCTGATGGTGCAGCCTACTTTTATTCTTTAAAACAGCTTCTGATTACATATTAAAATAGTTGATTTCAATAACGTGATAACTTCCTCATTATCTTTATCAGAGCTACTGTAAAGAGAAGGGATTTCCTTAAAAGTTCCTCGTTACTGGGAAAAATAACAAAGAAACATAGGATGCCAGAACAGTTGAGGTTGGAAGGGACCTCTGGAGGTCACCTCACACTTGTTCAAGGAGAGACACCTTGAACTGCTTGTTGAGGACCACGTCCAAGTGTTTTTTGTATAGCTCAGAGGAGTGAGACTCCACAACCTCTCTGGGCAACCTGCACTACTGCTCAGTCATCCTCATGGTAAAAAAGTGTTTTCTGATTCTCAGTGGGAATTTCCTGTGTTTCAGTTTGTGCCCATTGACTTTTACCCTATCACTGGGCAACACTCAATAGAGACTGGCTCCAGCTTTTCTACGTGCTTCCACCTGAACCTTCTCTTCTCTAGACTGAACAGCATCTCTTCTCATAGAAGAGATGTTCCAGGCCCTTAAACATCTTCATAGCCCTCTCTTGGTGTCTCTTCACTACGTGCATATCTGTCTTGTAGTGACGAGATCAGAACTGGACACGTAGAGGACAAATTCAATTCACTTTAATGAAAAAAATCCTAGTATGCAACAGTAAGGTTTACATGTGCTCTTGTATTTTCAGTGAATCACTGTCCAATACCAGACCCTGAAATCTTTAACTCAGTATTGTCATTATTTGGCTGACAAGAACACAATGTTGGAAGAAGAGAACTGCATTAGATGGAGTCATGGTCTTGTTGCAGTATTTTAGTTCTTCTATCTCTTTACAAATCTTGTAACAACTCCAGTACATATCCTGAAAATACCCATACAGCAATTTATGTTTTACCATGAAAAATTTCCTGGCAAAATCTGCTAAGATCAGTCCACAACCACCAAAGAATTCTAATTTTAGAAGCTATATGACAAAGCCACCAGTTGCGGGAGCTGATGCTAGAGAAAATTTAAAAGACCAATAAAAAAGCCATAATGGACACCTAAGGAGTATGGGAAAGATGGGAAAGGGGACAAAGAGAAAGGCTAAAAGGAGAAGGAGAAAGACAAAACCGGCAAGATCTGCCTAAAAAATTTATTAAAATATGAAATCAGCATGAATCCATATAGTGTGCAGAATCAGTAAGGATGCATATTTGCAGTAAGAAAAACATGTTACACCACCACAAGTAACACAGATTCATATTCATCTTCAAAGAAGTAATTATTTCTTCGTAATTCCTTAATTTGGCTTTCAGCAATGGCAAGCGTAAATATAGCAGCACAAATTTGTCTCACCCTGCCTTTTAAAAACATCACTGCTGTATCCGACCAGCAGTTACGGCACCATCAGGCAGAAAGAAATGTGAATCTTGATATCTTTGTTCTTGCTAACACAGAAAGAGAGTTTCACTTATGCTTCACCCATCGTTATTTTGAATGTGAGAAGTAAACACAGGTTTATTCACTTGCCCATACTTATCAGCATCCCAAAAAATTCCATCCTTCACTCTTTGCTCACCTGAAGACATTCACTGGCATGGGAGATACAGGAGAAGCAGTGGGACATCTTTAAACTAGTCCAAAGCCAGTAAGCATGTGAAAGGAACAACAAAGGGCATCTGGACAGTACTTAGCTGAGATCACATAACTCTACCAGGATTTATTTGATACCAAACAATTATTGCCACCTCTGGGTTTAGCAAACTGGTTCCTGTCCCTCCAGCAGAGCCATTACCTAAGAAAATACAACACACTCTCTCTGGCAGTGAGCTCTCTGGCCTGCTGTAAAACGCCACAATGCTATTAACAAGCCATTTCCCACTTGCAAGCCTATAAAAATCTCTCTAACAGAAAAAAGTTAGTTGCTTCACTCCTTGTGCTTGTGATGTCTGTAAGTCCCCAAGTGAACTTTGTCCTAATTATTATAAATTTACATATTTTAGTTATTCATTTCAAGCTGCTGAATTCTATTATCCCATGGATCAGATATTTTGAGTCAATGCTTTCTCTAGTGAGTCAGTCACTGAGGTTCTTTTTACTTTGGTTCACTTCATCTATCTTTTAATTTCATTAAGCTTTCCTTTGTTCTTCACATTGCAACTTATTGTCAATTCCAAAAAAGTTGATTTTTATAGGTATTATGTACCTTCATGTGTGGTAGGTTGACCTTGGCTAAACACCAGGTGCCCACCCAGCCACTCTATCACTCCACTTCCCGGCAAGACAGAGGAGAGCAAGATGGAAAATGACTTGTAGGTTGAGATAAGGCAGTTTACTAAAGCAAAAATCAAAAGTTTGTGTGTGCACAAAGTTTATTCTCTATTCCCATTGGCAAGCGGTGTTTGGCTACTTCCTGGGAAGCAGGGCTTTTAGTATGCATGACAGCTTCTCAGCAGGCAGACATTGTAAAAAACAAATGCCCCCCTTCCTCCTCCTTTCCTTAGCTTTTGTATCTGAGCTGTCATATGGTATGGGAATATCCCTTTGGTCAGTTTGGGTCAGATGGTCTACTTGTGTCCCCTCCCAGGATCTTGCCTTCAACTGGGAAAGGAATGTTACAGTGCTGATGCTGTGCCAGCGCTGCTCAGAAGTAGCCAAAACACCGGTGTGTTATCAACATCTTTCTAGCTACCAACGCAAAGCACAGCAATATGAGGGCTGCTGTGGGGAATGAACTCCATCTCAGCCAGATCCAATACGTTGTGGAATGAGAGAAAAACAAAGGAAGAAATGTGCTGACATTTCTTAGAGAAAGGATTTGTTAAACAAGGGTGACAGGGCTTGTCAGAGAGCTCTTACGCAGATGAGAGTTCATTCTCTTCAGATTTAGTAGAAACTAAATAGGCTCCAGATTTTTTTCATGTTCTTCCTGGATTCTGAATGGCAATAGTTTTCAAGATCACAAGGAGCTCACATTATTTCCCTTTATGCAGCAATTTTTAGACCACATCTGGACTTCTATGTCCAATTATGAATAACATGTCCATTCCAGTACAAGAAAGACATCAACAAACTCAAAGCAAGTCCAGTAGGAGTTCACCAAGATCACTGGGGCTGGAGAATGCACCCTATAAGGAGAGGCTGGAGGAGCTGGGCTAGGTAAGATTGAAAAAAAGAATGTTTTGGGTGTGTATAGCAGTACCTTTCCAATGCCTAAAAGAAGATTTCAAAATGAGGGAGCCAAGAACTTTCTGGAGTTGCATGGCAATAAAACTAACTAACTAACTAACTAACTAACTGAACACTGGTAATAAATTAAATCAGAGATAGTTCTTACTTTCAGCCAAACAGCAGGAGAGTCTGCCCAGAGACACTGTGCAATCTGCATCCTTGGAGGGTTTCAAGACCTGAACAGATAAAGTCCTGGGCGACACGTTTGAGCTTACACTTGACATAATTTGAGTAAGAGGTTGAATTAGAGTCCTCCTGAAGTCCCTCTGAACCTGAATTATATTACTACTCTGTGACTCCACATGGTCAAGCAGAAGTGGAACATAGAGCTTAAAAAAGGAATGAAGGCAATTTGAAAAGAAATTATTTGAAAGCTCCTGCCAGAACAGCCTATACTTCACACAAGGAAGGAGTAAGAGCTTGTATTTCTGTCACTGACCACTGAGTCATAAACACAAGTGTATATTCACTACTAGTTCTTTATGAAAAAAATGAAAAGAGTGACCTGGCCTTTTTCAAAAGCTAGTTAAGGCTATTTAAGGGCTAATTTTTCCCAGTAGCTGCCTACATGACTTCTCAAGTTATGTATGGAGACTAAGGTGGTTATACTTTTATCTCAGGCTATCTCATTTAGCTGGAATGAATCCACACTAACTCAATGTTAAGGTATATCTCTGTTCCTTTTAGCTACCAAGCATTAATATGGACATCTAAACTTGTCACTTCTCTTTTTTTTTTCTTTAATTAATAGACAATTTTCATTTTTTTTATGGCTATCAATCCATCAACTTAGTCCATCATTACATAAATATAAATGCACAAATGTATCCTTTTAGTATCAACCTAAGATCCCCTGTAGGCTCACACTTTGAAGAGTTACAAAATTATACCCAGCGAATTATGTCCACAAGACTGTATGTCTGTCTCACACCAGGCTGCTAGAGGACTAATGCTGCTTTCTCTGTGCAGTAGCAGTAGAACTACAACACAGAAAGAAAACTCAGCTCTTGGGATGTTTCCAATCTCCGAGCAAGAGGTTGTCCAGTATATTACAGACTCAACAAAGGCAACACTTTGATAGACATCTCAATTTGCTAAAATCAGACTGAAAAATACTGTGTGAAGCCAATGAAGTAGAACAGCAGGATTTAGGAAACAAAACCATGAACTTGAAAAACAAAATGGAGACAGCAGTAGGCTAATCCAACATGCCTAAATTCTTAGAATTTAAATTCAGACAGCTTCTGTATCCCCCAGCTATTACTGCATGTGAAGTTAGAGGATTTTCACTTAAGAAGCACATTTCATCTGGAAAAATGGCACATGTAGATTAGGAACATCAAAAACTTCTATGAAGTGGATTAGTTAAAGAGAAAAAGAGAAGTCTGAAAGAAATGCTTTTAGACATAAAGGCTTCCAAGTAAAAAGAATAACGTTTATACATATTCAGACAAAAAAATTTTA